AAGACTCTCAAACTGACCCTGAATACAATAAAGCGATAACAGAAACGAGTCTAACTTTTATTGGATGAATTTAATTTACAGATAAAGATTTCGGGTTGTCACATATATTCACCTACTAGTGGGCCGACATTGGTGCCTTAGACCCACTTCTACTGGAAGGTAACTCACCTCGCAAAGCTGAGTGTCGAATCTCACATTAAGAAATCCCCAACGGCTGCTCCAACGACTCCCCGACTATCATCATCATAACAACACTTAGTCAAAATCCATAATACTTCTTAGGGAAAAATGACCATTTTACCCTTTGGTCTAATTTGGACCATATCCAACGCCCAATTCCATCTTATCTTTCCAAGTCCACTAATGGCCCATTAAAGACCCAATAATGGCCCAATTTTCTAAATTGGGTCCAACTCCTCAAATGGACCGTATCACAAGCCCAATAACTCTTTAGCCAAAAATAGATAATTTCGAATGGCCCATTATGGCCCAAGAGGCCCAATACTTTAAATCTCAGTTCTAGGTCAAGAGACTCTATTCCACAGTGGGCCATGAGGCCCAACCATCCAGGCCCAAATTTCTAAGGCCCAAAAACCCAAGTTCGCCACTCTGCATGCGTACGCGCGGCGTACCTGGCACGTACGCCCAACGTACGCTGGCCTTGACCGAAAACGGGAAGTTGACCCAGTACGCGCAACGTACCATGGTGTACGTCCAACGTACTGGCCAGCTTCCTTGGGACTCCATTTGTGACTTAATCCATTAAGTCCTCACGTCCAGAACATAAATCCAGGTCCTTTAAGATATCCTAATCCATAAAGTCACAAACTTTATGTGCTTGCATGCATGGATGAGGGTCAAAACATGATTTTAGTCCTTAAACAAACTTTGTGACCATCAAACAATTGCATGGTTGTGGCTTAACCATCAAGGTCCGAGTTTTATGACTCTAAGTGCTTCAAAGAGCTCAAAAGGACAGCTCTTATGGTCTGAAACTATCAAGATACAAGAAACCCCAACAATTGAGTCAAAATAACCCATAAAACACCCCAACATTATAACTAAGCATGCAATGGTCAAGTTTGAAGCTTGATACCTCAAATGAGTCAGAAATGGTGCTAATCCCCTGTATCTACAAGTTCCCTTCGAATCCTTGCTCCTTCTTCAAGCTTCTTTCTCTTCCAAAACACCAAAGCAACACCAAAATGGTCTCAAATGGCTACCAAATCACAAGAACACACAAATATGGGTTAGGGTTTTGGTGGTGGCTGTCTAAGGGTGAGAGGGAGGCTGGACTAAGGGCATAAGGTTCTTTATATAAGGATCAAACCCTAAATTTTAGGGTTTTAGAGTCTGCATGCGTACACTGCGCATACCCTTTGGTACGCTGGGCGTACGTGCATGGCATCTGCGCCTTCTTCTCATGAGTATGCTGAGCGTACATGGCATAGTACACCCCGCGTACGACACTTCTCAGCCCAATCTCAAGGATCCAATGGTCCAAGCCCAAACCAATTCAATTCATTAGTCTTATAATAATATAATTAATACCTTATAAAACTCGGATGTTACAAGCATACTAGATCTTTCACGCCACTTACTCACTTTTTAGTTAAACCCATATTCTCTCGACCAGACACTAACTTGACTGTCGGAGCTTCGTTCCGGGAGCCCATCCCGGACGACAACTGACGACCTTTTCTTTGTGTTGTGATTCCCAGGCTTAACTCCATTGAGACGACGAAAGGCGACGTTAAGTCCGGGGAAGATATCACAACAGGTGTACGTGTTTATGTGTAGATTTATGGAAACCTTGTTACATTTGGGTTTTGTGGGTTTTGTGTGGTAGGATAGTATTTTTTTTTAATTGATGCAATAAAAAGAAAATTTATAAATAAAATTAAAAGGATAAATCAGTCATTTTCAGTATTTTAAGAAAATGACCCAAACCATAACAAAAATCATATTTTGGACTAGTGGTGCTAGTCCAAAACTTTTTAGACCAAAGTGACAATTTTCGATAAATCGCATGACCATTTTTATAATTTAGTCTTTTTATTATTTTATCACTTATTTATTTTTATTTTATTTTCCTAAAAAAAAAATTTCTCTAAAAAGGGCAAAAACTTCTAGTCTCATTTTGCGGATGTTACATTTTTTTATAAATATACAGATACAAATCATCACCATATCTCATAAACTTGGAGTTTGGTTCCTTTCGCGCATCCGGGAGTAGCATCCCAAGGTCCTTATATAAGAGCCTTAGACTACATTCCCCGCATAAACATATCAATTGGTTTTCATTTTGCCATGGGCTCCTCTAAGAAACTAGAATAGATCCTTTCGAGTGGTCTAAACTGCTATGGTCTCCTTCATCGTCAATCCCTCCCTTCACTCGGTAATATTACATTGTATACGCGAACAACTTTTACTATGGCTCTTGTGGCTCCATCGATCTTGATAGGTAGTCTAAACAGATGATATGGTCTTCATTACTCGCCAAAGTTCTAAACAATGTGAGGCCTAATATGGTGGTAAGGTCGAACCTCAAGCTTTATGAGCCCTAACGAGGCCCTAATGTTTTTAAGGCATTATTAAGGTAGTAATTTTGTATATAATTTATAATTATACATAAATACATATGAATTAAAGCGATTTTTATGGCGTGACACTGCATACGAGCCTTGGAGCTATGGTGCACCTTGGGGAAACTATTGACGAGTTTTTTAGAACATTTTCGGTCGACATAGTCGCAATATATTTTGCATCATGACATCCTCCTCCATCCAATTCGCAACAAGTTATCGTATTGGGAGTATAACTTCAAATCCTTCCCAGGATTAGTATACTTGTAACGATGCACCATATTAATTAATCGCAACACTTACATCATTTTGGAATCAACTATGGCTAACCCTAGTCAACCAACGACCCCATAGAGGAGGTAGAACAATCCTCATCATGTCATATCGGGTGATGAAACATTACCTCCAAATGGGTGAGAACATGGGTATGTATATTGCTAATCTCCTTTTTTCAAACCTAGGATCACTATAAAAACCTAAAAGGCGGTCCTAATCTAGGGTGAGCTTGGGGTTACACTTCGATGCTCAAGTTAGTATATGTATAGGTGGGAAAGAAGAATATGATAGCAAAGAGTGTGAGTTGCCTCTTAAGACCTTGTTTGTGACTAGTGTTTATATTGTTGGCACAAAAAATAAGGTTTGTCTTCTAGATTGGTCCAAATTACTAGGTACAAGGTATACTTGTGACATAATGTATGTTGTGACATTCCTACTTGGTGGGTTGAGCATAATCGAATGTCAGTCGGTGTGAATGATGAACGATTTGTTAAAGCTAACCATTAGACCCGTATGTCGTGGTTTTTGGAATTACTAGTTCATAAAAGGCAAGATAGGAATGCCACGCTAGTGACGGGTTCAGGTAACTACTTAGATTAGACGAGGTCCACTACTATGGTCAACTTGTAACACCCTATGACCTAGTATAATGTACAACTTTTTTTTTGTCTTTTTTTAGAAACATTTGTTACATACATAAGTATCTTAGGGAAATTCCAATCTTCTTATCGTGGTATCACCATATCTTGGGGCGAGAACCGACGATACACTTTGATGAATAAGTCGGTAACATGGGGGATACGATATTGAGAATTAGGAAGACGATTTTTTTGAGTGATATGTTCGAACTTTTTAGAGTGTTGTATTTATAGGCCATGGTATACAATGACATGTCAATAATGTCAATCTTACATGGTCCTATTGGTTGGAAGTAGTGCTCAAAATGACTTCAGCTGAATATATTTGGTGGATCTAGTGTCATCCACCATTCCTCGAGTGAGCATGAGTTCGTCTCATCTAGAATTAGGGGATAAGATCATCCTCCGTAAATGTGGTGTTACATGTTGTGGCAGGTCAGGTGACTGACTGGATCGGGGAGAAATCTGATGTTGTCAACTACAGTTCCGACAAGATGAAGGTTACGATTCCAATACCATTTGAAGAAATCAAAAAATTAGAATGGTTTTTGTAGTTGATAGAGAGGTTAAAAGCTTCTTTTATACACATTAAAGTTTACACGAACAAAGTAACTAAATGGCAATACAAGTCTATCCTACAAAATCTAACACTAATTTTCATGATGGAATTTAAAGCACCAAGAAACAACCGAACAATTTTATTAAGTTGCACACTTTTATCAAATTGTATGTCAAACGAAACGTAACAATTCTCTTGCACATACGATTTTCACAAAACAAACACTTTCCGCTTAATTTCAAAATAATCATTAAACTTGTAAAAATCATAGGTCCACCACCAACTCACCAATAATCTCCACAAGAACACACGCCATCTTTGAAATGATGGTACCGATTTAAATCTCTACACACAATCTCCCTCTCAGTAATCTTGGATATAAACTTAATTGCAACATGACAATCCTCACAAACCCGAAGATTTTTCGTGATCAAAAGTCTACTCCGAGGTGGAGTACTAATCAACCCAAACACAATCGCTAGCCTCTCACTATGCCTACACACCATCCTTATCTTCTCATCATCATCCACATCATGAAACACGGGTGCAGTGTTAGGAACATATCCGGCTTCACTCATCAACTTTTCAACCCTTTTTAGTTCCGCATCTATCTCATCGGACATAGGATGACTCATATCACCCGAAAGAAACGCGTTGACTTTATTGTTGACTTCAATCCAACTACACGCGACGTCTTTTTTAAGTTCCCGCTTTGTCATTAGCTCCCGAAGCTTTTCCACCCCCGAATACTGTCCGGCTTGCGCGTAAATATTTGACATGATCACGTAGTTTCCAGGTTCATCTGGTTCAAGCTCGGTCAACTTCTCTAATGCAAGTTCACCGAGCTCGACATTTCCATGGATTTTACAGGAATTGAGCAGTGCACCCCAGACGCCGGCATCTGGGGTGACCGACATATTCCTAATCATGTTATACGCTTCGTCTAATCGGCCATAATGGCCGATTAGATCGATGATACATGAATAGTGTTGAACGGTTGGTTGTATTTTGTAATTGTGGATCATTGATTCAAAATATTCTCGTCCTTTTTGTAGCAAACCTCCATGGTTACAAGCGGAGAGAACACCAACAAAAGTTATGTGATCGGGATTGGCTTCACATGTCATTTTTTCGAACAAATTTAGCGCTTCAGTTGCATGTCCATGCATTGCGTACCCTGTAATCATGGCGTTCCAAGAAGCAATACGTTTTTCTGATAATTGATTGAAGAGAACTCTGGCTACCTTCACGTATCCACTTTTGGCATACATATCAACAAGTGCGGTTTTTACTTTATCTTGAAAGTAAAACCCTTGTCTCCAGCTATACCCATGAAGCTCTCTTCCTTGTGGGAGGGCTGCCATGTCAGCAGCGGCGGAGATGGTGGTGACAAGAGTCGCGACAGTTGGTCTCACCATGTTTGAGGCCATTTCACTGCACAAAACCAAGCAGTCTTCAGGGTGACTGTTTTGAGCGTATGCAGCAAGCATGGAGTTCCATATGACAACATCTCTTTGGAGTATTTTATCAAACACCTGGCGTGCATTATTGACTTTTCCACATTTTGCATACATATCGATTAAAGCTGCACCCACAAAAACATCCGTTTCCCATCCCGTTCTCATCACATGGTCATGAACATCCCGCCCCGTATCGATCGCACTAAGATTAGAACATGCTTTGAGAACAAACGGGAATGTAAAATTATCAGGAATAACGCCCTTATTGATCATTTCATAATACAGCGAAATCGCAGCATCGTAAGGGCCGTTCCAAGCATACCCACGAATCAAAACGTTCCAAAGAAAGACATTTCGTTGAGAAATTCTATCGAATAGTAGGTGGGCATTAGACAAATGGTTGCACGAACAGTATAAATCAACGAGTTTAGTACCTAAAATTGTGTCGTTTCCAAGACCAATTAAGCAAAGATGTGCATGAAGCTGTCTACCTGGCTGAATCGCCCTTCGAGCAATGAATGTTTTTAGGATATGTTGGTAATCTAATGGAGAACGATTGGTCAGGTGGAGCTTCGGAGGAAGATGGCGATGATGGGTTGTCGATGTTGTTCGTGAGTGATATGATGATCGACATTGTTGTCGTGAACCCGATGAAGAATCAGAATCAGCAATGGTGGTGAGAGAGGAAAACAGGAATTTGTCATGTGAAAAACTCCATCTCTTGACTTTTGCTGTCGCTTGAACTCGAATCAGCATTTGGCTTCTGTTTCAACAATGCATGCAATAGCGACTAGCGAGCACATTTACATCAGATTTAGTTTAGGTAATTGTATACTTTATCATGTACACTGCAACACCTTTTTTTTTTTTTAGGGAAATTAAGTAATCTAACTTTTTAATGTGTATTTGAAAAAAAAAATCAATTTATTTATTTTTTATATTTTATTTTTGGGAAAATGACTTAAAAAGGTAACGAAGTTATAAAAATGTACAAAAAAGACCATTGTTTTTTTTAGTACACAAAATACCATTTTACCGGCTATTGTAGGTTACCCGGTTTTCAAATGTTCAAAAAATATCATTATTGTTTTTTTAGTACAAAAAATATCATTAATGTTACTATTTGTACACATAATACCAACGAAGTAAACATATGTTCAACTAAAACATTGTGGTAACCAGACACTTCAGGTAAATGGACAAATGACTTAAAAGTGTAACGACGTTTCCAAAATGTTTAAAAAATATCACACTTTTTGTTAACTGTGTTGTTGTCGGATTATGTAGAACACAATTACCGGAGATCATGAACCGTCATATCAGTTCACAACAATTGTGCAAACCTAAAACATATATACGTTATATAGATGCACATATTATACATCAATGTTAGCCGTTCATTAGTGTTACGGCACAAGAGACACAAAGGAAACGAGTGTGACGTTATCTCATGAGAATTCCTAAATATGGATTTAGATACAAACCGATCGAGTGATAGGATGAAAGATAGTACACAACTGGTGTGAACTGGTACGACGGTGACTAATCTCCGATGACTGTGTTCTATATAATCCGGAAACAACAAAGTTAACAAAAGGTGCTATGAAAAAACAACAATGGTTTTTTTTTTTTTTTTGAACATTTTGGAAATTTCAATGGTATTTTTTATACTAAAAAAATAATGGTATTTTTTGAACAATTTTGAAACTTTGTTACTTTTTTAAGACATTTTTCTGTTACTTGCAGTAACAGGTTACCCACAAGACTTTATTTGAACACATGTGTACTTCATTGGTATTTTGTGTACTGAAAAAACAATGGTCTTTTTTGTACATTTTTTAAACTTCATTACCATTTTAAGTCATTTTCCCTTTATTTTTTACTTTTTGCAAAAATAATCACTTTGTCCGGAATGGGATATATTAGGACAAAGAGAAAACATTTTTTGACTAATTCCGGAATGGCATTCCGGATTCTGAATTTTGAAAAAGAAATCTGGAATTTAAAAAACAAGTCTGAAATCCGAAGAACAAATCTGAAATTTCGAGAAAAAAATTCGTTTTTTACTTAAATTTAACAAAAAGTTAAAAATACATACTAATGTGAACTATATACGATATTAGTATATGAAATTAGACATTTTATTAAGAAATGGTAACATTAAACATTTCGAATGTATTATTTGAAATCCCAAAATAAAATAAAAAAATTCTTTGAAAAAAAAACTCCGAAATATGAACAGTATCCCGGAGAAAGTGATTATTTTTCAAAAACTGAAAAAATATAGTTATTTTTTTTAAACCTCATTTATAATGGTTAGTTTACTAAATTTCCTATTAATTAATGTAATTTTTTTGTTTTACATAAAATAATAATATACTTAATATTTAGTTCATTAATAGTGTTATTCGGAAAGCTCAACTTGGGTTTTTTTGTTTTTTTTTTTTTTTACATAAAACATCTAAAAATCCTACTATTCGCCCATTAATGCGAGCATTGAAATTTTGTCAAAAAAAAATGTTCAATATATCTCTTTCTGTAGAGTTAGATAACTTTATTTACACAAAACATCAAATACAACATCTCTATCATATCATCTTGCTCACATGATAGTTGTATGCGGATTTAACAAATTTAACAGACTTATTAACAAGATGACATGATATTTAGATATTACAATCACATTGATATATAAGCTCATTTATAAAAGCTATATATGTAATTTATGAAAACCAGTAAAAAACAACTCGAAGTTTATTCACACGACAAGAAAAGTATTCATTGCTGTTACATAAACATATCGTGGCCTAGAGTTGAACTTGTTACATTTACAACTTTGAGTTCGTCATAAATCATTGACTGATAACATCAGATAACGACTTGTTGATGATCTGAATCAGCTCTTCCCTGTAAAGCAATGAGACAAAATTATTAAAGCATCTTTTACTTTTACTCTCAACTAACCAAACATGTTTAAATGTAGAGTTCTCATGGCATCTGGTGCATTAGTGTTTTGGTATGATCGAACCCGATCCTCAAAACTTTTTAAAAAAAATCACATTTTATTTTTCCTAAACTTATGAAAAAGAATATATTTTACCTGTCGGGTTTGAATAACAGATAACGATAGACGAACCACTGAAAAAGTGAAAATGTTAATATATGAAAAAAGATTGCAAATTAGGAAAGTCGACATTACATGTGGAATAAGAGTACTTACTGTTGAGAACGAAATGCCAATTAGCTCAAATACGCCTGGGAGGACCGGAAGTTTGTCTATAGCCTACTCACATCACATGACAAGTAGAGAGTCACAATATTTGTTAATAGGAGATAACATATATAGTTGTCCAGATTAAGTGCTTAACCCATTAAGCTCATTAAGTAAAAAAGAAACAGCTCCTTAGTTAAAGATCTACCGAGAGAGTAAGCATATACCGTGACTACATTAAGCGAGACCCACAAAGCAACAACGGATGCAAATCCCAATCCAATAAGAGCAATTCGATCTTCTGGTGTATCCCACTGTTCAAATGTAACACATACGCAAGCATTTAAGACTAAAATAAGAAGAAAGAAATTGTTCATGCCAAACTCTTAAACAGCCAACCAAATACAGGGAAAAAAGTTTGCAGTTGGAAAAAGCAGCAGATACTTACAAAATTTTGGACAGACTCAATGATGCTTAAAGAGGTAGAAGACTCTGTGCTCCCACTCGTAGCCATTGCAATAACAGCAACACGCGTTTGTTGCCCTGTAGTCAAATAATGGTATAAAACAAGCATGAATAATGAGATATAAAAGTTATAAAAGCACGCCATATCATCGTCATAAAGTTTGGTGGTTTTCCATTTGCAAGTTGCAATACATGGTTGCCTGATCAATTGGGTTTATATTGTGCCTAGAACTTATGTTTCTTTCCATCATTTCTTCATAAATGTGCCTCCACTTTACTTTTGAGGGTCAAATGAACTATTTTATAAATTCAAATTCCACAAGATTGTTTCTATTAGAGTTGAATCGATATAATGGAAACAATTTGGAGATTAAAAACACTAATGAACATATGCCAATTTTGACAATGAATAAGGCTAGATTTGAATTCTTTAAGAGTCAGAAGTTGACTTTTGGGGAGGGAAGGAGTAAAGGGCTGTTTGGATTTGTGGCTTCATTGGAGTCAAAATAGTCAGTTTTGAGTGTTTGGTAAAAGGCCAATATGAATATGATTTTCTAAAGCAAGTAAATAGATAAACATAAAACTAACTGATTATCTTACTATTGAATTTTGATTCTTCTGTTACAATAAACACACATTCAATAATCCAAATACCCTTACTCCTTGATACATGAAGACTCTAAAATGAAATATACAATAATTTGCACACTTGGAATTAAGTATAGAATCAAACATAACTTGTTACCATCGATAATCGAAGGCAAATTAATCAAGAAGAGAACTTAAATCAACTCATTCACTGATAAATTATAACATTAATGAAAACCCCATGAACATGTAATCAACTCAGATCAGAGCTCATCATGGACATGGGAAAACAAAGAATGATTGAACTTCAGGAACTGAGAATAATAAATTGATTTAATACGAAATTTAAAAATCAATTAAACCCCTCAAAATGCAACTGACCAAGATTGAGCAATCGATTAAAAACTCATAATTGGATTGGGAAAACAAAAAAAAAGGGGGAAATGTACCTCCAATGGCAGAAACAGTGTGCTTATGCAGAGGTGAGCATAAGGATTGTTTGTTAATGGTGAGTAGAGGAGGAAGAGGCATATTGGAGATCAAACAAGCCATGTGTGCCTGAAACCATGAATATGAAAAGTAAATTAAGGTTATTCACCTTCAGAATCAAGCAAACTTTATCAGAAAAAATGAAGAAAATTGGTAATAGAATTACAAGATGATTGAAAGGGTCTCAAGATATTAAGCTCTTTGGTTCCTTTGTTGATAGCCTGCAACTGTACTTACCTCGAAATAGAAGACAGCGAAAGCATGTGTATATGGGTGGGAAGAGAGAGCTCCCCTTCATCACCACAAATTATCTGCAGGCCCCAGGGATAGACGCAGTTACTCATAGAATATTTATAATATACTTGAAGGTTCTTACCAAATCGGGGATGTAGCTCAAATGGTAGAGCGCTCGCTTTGCATGCGAGAGGCACGGGGTTCGATCCCCCGCATCTCCAATTTTAATTTATGTTTATATCTTTTTTCATATAAATGTGTTTTATACAAATGTATACATTATATCTTTTTTCATGTAAATCGTTGCTATAAGAATGTATACATGTTTAGTTGTGTTAAATTGCATTAAGGTTTTATATATTAAAAGTATACATTTTAGATGATGTTCGACCAATTTTAATATTTTTAGCTGAATTTATTGTTTCTTTTTAATTTCTTAAAAAATAATTTGTAATCTGAATCAATTCATTTAATAAGTAAACTATAAAAAAATTTAACAATCACTAGATGAATTGTCCATTACCATATAAAATCATGGTGATGAAAGGTTTAATTCCATTACTATTACTTGTAAAATTATAAATTAGCAAAAGAACAAAGCCTACCCCAAAAGATCGAATTTCGGCGTTAACACAAAATCTAAAGTTGTCACTTGTCAGACTGGATAATAGATAATCGTATACGAGATAGGCTTATCCAAGTCCAATCCACATGTCAACTCCGGATTGGTTAACTAAAGAACATATCTTTCTCCTTTCAAAAACATTTGCCAAATGGCAACCCATTATTCATGCAAGATGATCAAAAGCCCCACACATCCCCTGTTTCTTCATCTCATTGACTATAACCTGATTAATCAATTCGTTTGACAACAACAACAACGACAATTTAGTAGAAACACTGTTTTGAGCACTAAATTTTGTCCAACAATGGCATCTCTTACAACCTGCGCACCCGCCGCAGCCACCGTCAAAGGCCTCGGAGGCAGTTCACTCACCGGGACTAAGCTTACCCTCAAGCCTTCTCGCGCGAGTTTCAGACCCACTTCAAACAGGTGCTGTTACTCTTTGATAAATACTTATTCTTGTGTTTTAAATCAGTATTTTACTCCACAATTTGTAATGAAATGTCTGGTTGAAATCGGCGATTTCCTAATTGTTCTTGTTATTGTGGGAAAATCTTGAATATATGCAGAGCTGGTGCTGTGGTAGCTAAATACGGCGACAAAAGTGTGTACTTTGATTTGGAAGATTTGGGCAACACCACTGGTCAATGGGATGTGTATGGCTCTGATGCCCCCTCACCTTACAATTCCCTCCAGGTATTCGATATAATGCCTCAGTGAACTTGTTATCTCCATTCCTATGTTTTGAAACTGTATGGGTAAAGGGTTGAATTGATGGTGTAAGTTCTAAATTAATAAGATTGTTTCTTTATTTTGACGAGTAAATGACTATTATACCCTTTTTGGTCGCAGAGCAAGTTCTTTGAGACATTCGCTGCGCCTTTTACCAAGAGAGGATTGTTGCTTAAATTCTTGATATTGGGAGGTGGTTCGACTCTTGCTTACTTCAGCTCCACTGCAACCGGAGATGTCCTACCGATCGTGAAGGGCCCACAACAAAAACCAAAGCTCGGTCCACGTGGCAAGATCTAATTGGATCAACAATCTCAAGTCTTGTTAGTATGATTTAAATGTATCCTTGCTATATAGCTTGTAAGTATGTCTGATTTCTGCTTATAAGATCTCATCAATTTTCCATGTTATGGTCGTTTGAGAAATGACTAGTTATGGTTTGTGACTGTAACTATTTTTGGTTCACAACTTGATTTCAGCTTATAAGATCTCATCAATTTTCCATGTTATGGTCGTTTGAGAAATGATTAGTTATGGTTTGTGTAACTATTTTTGGTTCAAAAGTTGTGATTGTTTGAATTTTGTGCATTTTCCATGTTGCAACTAATCCATAAATAGACTTGTCAAGATTATATAATAAGGCCAAATGCAATAAATATCAATGTACTTTCATTAATTTGTGTATTATAGCACTCTACTTTCGTTTCTTTTTATTACAGCATTGTATTTTTTGCATTTTTTTTCTTATAAGACATTGTTCAACCTAATTGTAATATTGTAATTTCATTTTTTTCTTATTACGTCGTTATACTTCAAAAAATCCACCTAATTATAACAAGGAAGATTGTCTTGTATTTAGATGACATTGTTGTAACCGGATAAATTTATCAAAGTAAAATGTTGTAATATGAAGAAATGAAAGCATTTTACTATAATAAACAAATGAATGAAAGTATGATGGTATAATAAACAAATTAATGAAAAAGAGTGTCGCTATTGTTTGCATTTGACAATTTCTGATAACCCCGTATGTAGTTGGGGTCCTTTATAAGGTTGTGTTTGTTACACGGGACAAGACCAATGTTGTAAAACTCGTTAGACATTCCCAGAGCGGCCGACTAGCGCCTAGCGAGTATTCAGTCTCTAGGCGTGGAGTACTCGGATTGGATAAATTATATGAAATTAATTTAAAGAAAATTATATATGTAACAAATATAACAAGTTTATTAAAAATTATAACAAAATAGATGAATATTAATAACAATTATAGATTTTTTTCTAAAAAAATTCGAAATTTCCGATTTTTACCGATTCCGAATTTGACAGATTTTAACCGTTTTTGACTGATTTTTGACCGAGTTTGACCGATTCCGAGTTTTTTGGCCGATTCCTAATTAGATGCCTCAGTCCCTACCCGATTCCGATTAATTAGCCGCCTAGGCCGACTTTTGCAACACTGGACAAGACTAAACGTGACTGTGAGATTAAACCGGATTGGACAAGTTTTCCAAGGATATTACGTCTTTTGCATATATGAGAGATCTAAAGTGAGTCTCTATCACACTTTTGGTGGGACAAAAAATTGCAAGTTTTATCCCATTGACATTACTGAGTCTCGGTCCAAATGCATGACAAACACAATACAAGTTTGTCTCTTCTATCACGTGTCAAGCCAAACACAGTACAAGTCTGTGTCTCTTCAGTGATGTGTCATGTGCCACATAACAAATGAGACCTAAAGGTTCTTTACACGAAACAAACTCAAAACTACATTATCTGTGTCCGTATACTATCCACCTCAAAGGGCCGATGGTTTTTTAAAATAAATTAAAAAAAAAAGTTAATAGCATGTTGTGGAAATACGTCGGGGTCTACCCACTTTTAATGATTTGTAGAGGAAAGTTGAAAGGATTCTATAGCATAACCAGAGTCCATATATTTTGACTAAGTTGAAAAAGTTAATATAGCATGTTGTACAAGATTCAGCACTTAATTAAAAGTGCTTTTCATAACTTACATCTTATGTACTTCCTATATTTACACATGAAAATTTTACAGACTCTATGTAGGTAGGTAGGTCTGAGAATATTTACACATGAAACTTCATTTCTATAAAAACTTTTTTTTAACTTTTACTCCTCTAATTTTCAATTCCCGTTAGTCAGTTAATTACTGGCGTGCTGATGGACTTCTTCCGCCTAAAGTATCAAGTTTCTCTAGATACGAAAGCTTCTTGCTATTTGTAGCAGAAGGTTGTTTTGCCAATTGTTCTGTTGTTGTTTCCGTGCCATTTGACAATTCTTGTTTTGATTCTTTTTCGTTGTCTAAAGTCCATCCCATGAAATCGGATAATGTCATTGAGGTTGGAGCATCTGAGAGATTGAGTTTTTCTAACTCTTCTTTTGCACTTGGGAATTTTCCGGATGCCATTGATGCTGAATCTTTTAGAGGGTTTCTTTTTGGATCACCTGATGGATTTTGTGCAAGATTATCTGCATGCATTACATCTTCAATTCGTGACATTACTTTGTGTGCTAAGCTTTCCAGTATTCTTGAATAGCTCTCCAGAACAGCGTGTCCCACATCCTATTATAACATCAATCAGACTTTATCATTTTATAGATAATTATGCATTTCAATATGATTACAAAGGGGTACGAAAGTTTCTTACTCGATTGTTTTCGATTTTGCTGACATCTAGTGCAGATTGAGGAATACCAGGGTAACGATGTTTGAGTATTAGTAATATTGTTTCTGCTCTATCTTCAAACTGTTCTCTTTTCTCAATACTCACACCTGAACCCCATCCAGATTTTCCATCTTTATTTGTCATCTTTCTCCTCCATATCACAACAGAAGCCTCAATTCTGTTCTTCAGATCAAGAATTTTATGCTCTGAAGATAAATCCATGGCTGAAAGAAAATGGTCTGGATCAAAGTGATCAACCGTTATATTTTTATAAATCGTGTCTCCCAAACTTGCCCTTCCATTCTGCCACAAAATGCATCAACTCAACTGGATGTAATGTAATTCCCTTAATTTTGATTGTATTTGTTAGTGTAAAACTGTAAATATATTCTACTTTAAAACTTACCTTGGGGAGACCATCAATGTAACTTTCTGGTATTTCCATTTCGGTAAGCGTGTGAGAGTTCATAGCCATGGCTGCTTTGAGTACTTGGTTCACTGAGTCTTTCTGAAACTGCAACCATTTTCTTGTGACATCAGATAAACCATTTGGGGGAACCTTTGGAGTAGGCAACCACCATTTCTCTTCTTCCCTTTTCTTCTGTGATTTTGCTCCAGCATCGTCTTTTGATGCATAAGTAAATTCATTCTGATCTTTAAAATTATCTAAACATTCCTGTATCAACAGACATAAACATTAAAAGCATATTAGACTTCCCTATATGTATACAGCACTTACCACGTATAATAGGGTTAAGCTTCTTCACAAATATATGACAAAGATCCTAACAATTGCTGAAAAAAATGTATACTTTTTCCTTTGTTTATCGTTTTTTTCAATTACTTCCTTTCTATGATGGGGGAGTTTAATAAGAGAGCCCAAATCTTACCATGAGCATGGCATCAAGCTTCTTTAGGGCAGGAATATTGGTGTGCACATCACTTCGTTGCCTTGTAACCATTATCTGTGCAAATTATATGACTGTTTAACAGCTTTTGAGAATTGGCAGACAACATA